ATTTTTTTGCCGCTACCAACCTAATTTGTTTAACAATAGGCCGTCAACTTTTACAGTCTGTAACTCCGTTGTTTTTCAACGAATCCTAACGATTTTTTTTTTAACTTAAAGATCTTTTCATAAGCTTTCCGAATATGTAATAATATTTAACTATATCACGCGCGTGCGTCATATATTTCATTTTGCAACTAAGGCTAAAAAATAAAAAAAATCCAGACTGCATATTTGAAACTAAAAAATTAGTTAATTTGTTTATAAGGCCATAACTTGTAAACTATTCAACTTACCGATTCCAGATCGTGTGAGTTATTAGATAATGATAATAGATGAGAGGATGCGATGCCAAAACGTTCTGGTAATAATAACCCAGTTTATAAATGTTTAATTCAAAAGTCATAAATAAACTTCTTCTGTTTATAACTTTTGATCTAATCAATATTTTTTGAAGCTACAGCTAGTAGTAAAGGCTAGTTTTGTTGGTCTTTTGAAGACGAAAAAAAAGTACTTTACTGTTTTCTCGTGGAAATGAACGGAAAAAAGTTATAAGCGAAAAACGTGAATTTACGTAAAAATTATACAATTAACCACCCTGTAAACAACCTTCCATCCATTTTTATTACTGTGAAAACTAATATGTTATTGTACATAATATTTAGCATCTATAGTGATAAATTCAGCTTGCCGAAACAAAAATTTGGGAATAGATGCGGCATGAGAAATGAAGTTAATAACGTAAAAAAAAAATTAGTAAAATCCTTATAGTTTCCGAGAAAAAAATTATTGAAGTTATAGTACATTCAACCACTACATAGCTGGACAACTGTAGTCTCTAGCTTCATTCGCAATACGCGTGGAGAGCAAATCCGTCGTTGCGGTAGTTTTTACCTGTTATCTGTGGTGTTTACAACAGTTTTTTAGTAGTTAGTGTCAAAAATGGTTTGCGTGTGTAGCAACTCAGAGTTGATGGATATCGTTTTAATTTATGGTGAAGCAAGACAACATTTGTATTATGGTGAAGCATTTGTGTTATGATGAATCAAGACATCATTTGTGTTAGTTCGTAGAAAGTGAGTAAGACGGACCCAAATGTGTTTACACGTTAGTGGATAAAATTTTGAACAATTATTGTTGTAACATCGGGTATGTCAAATGATTTTATTATTTAAAAACATAAATTAATTTTATTAATAATTAATGAAGGCAAAAGCATTTGAATTTGCCGATATAAAATAGGTGCTATAAAATTCTATTTATTTCTTTCCTTGCGAAAGTTTTTGTCCGTTTTTATCACAACGCCATGCCGGTCGCATTGTGCGAGGTCAGATTTTACAGTGGACCAGCTTCCAGTGCCGTGCAGAAGTGTATTTTTAAATCAATTTCGAACTGCCCTTTTTGATTTTTTCTTTACAAAATTGTATTTGTAAGGGTCCCCTATACATACAGAATTTTTTTTTGGATAAGTTCTGAATCACCCTATATATTTCTTGGCCTTTAAAACACTTAGGTGGGTCGCACACTGGAGCAACGGGCGATAAGCAATAAGCAACTAGCGATAGACAACGAGAAATAATATTGTACGTTTGTCTCACATCAAAACAACACAAATCAGATTATTCCTAACAATACACCCAATAATAGTAAGTCCCCATAGGAATGAGTTAAAAGATTATATTGTGTAGGAACAATATTACCTGTATAACAAAATATGTGTAATATATTATAGACATACTGAGTAAATACTAGTTAATTAAAATTAAAAAATTTAAGTTTTACCAGAATCTTTAATTTCATTTGCAATTGCTGCCCATGCCTTTTCTTGCCCCTTTGCCGTAATCTGTACGATTATATCTATCATAAATACATAGGTATTTTTCGACGATTTTCACAAATTTAATATTCGCTATAGGATCATCTGGCATTTTTCGAATTTTATTGCCTGAATGTTGCTTCGAAAATGAAACGATCGACATGCAGGTTTATCACCGCCAATATAAATAGCTGAATTTAAGCAACTTGTTCCTACAGGCAATATCGTATTGCTTCAGTGTGCGGGATAACATCTGATCTGTAGCACAGAGTAAGTAATACAGAGGAGACGGCCGGCGGAATGCCTTTGATGTCTGGACCTTCTCTAATTTGACCTTGTCCCTTTTGTAGTATAACAACCCTAGGTTCGACCAAAAATAAGTAAACGTAGTTGTGGCCAAAAATATGTGATCGTCATAAGGAATCCCTACGTTGTGTATATTTATTTTTTTTATTGACCGGAAGGCGCTGGCTACTAACTTTGTCGAGGGGATGTATGGTTTAATTATATAAAACAAAAGCAGAGTAAATACACCTAAACTTTATTTACATACAATTCAAATTAAACATGTGACAAATAGAAAGAACAACAAAAACATTAACAACCATTAAACATAAAAGGAGAGTGCCAGGCTCACCTAGAGCTCCTG